GGCGTGTCAAGGCTCGATAAGCGGCAGCAGCAGCGGCGGTGGTGGAGGAGGTAAAGGTGAAGCTCAAGCTGAAGCGGATGAGGAGCTGCACTTGCGAGGGATGACGTGCAGTAGCTTCATCAGGTGAGCATTTCGCACGACTGTGTCCTTCAGGGACTGCCGGATTGCTCCAATTTGGCCGTTCACATTAAGCGGCACAAACTTGACACAGAATGTAACCTTTTAACCTCATAATTCAGCAATAAAACATGAAATAATGCATGCGTTTTGATACCTTGCGACCTCATTACCAGCAACATGTTACCTCACATGAGCGTGTCGTCGTGCGTGCGTGCAGTGTGTCCATGGATCCGCCGCTCATCTCCGTCTGCATTCGCAAGGAATCCCACTTCCTCGATGTACGACCCCCTGCCAGCAACCCTCCCACCCTAGATGCTTGTCGATCAGCGCATTGTCTCGTCGTAACTACTGCCGTGTCTTCCCAATGTTCGTTCCGTCGTTATTCTTGCAAACCACTCAATGTTGCTGCCTCACGATGCAACTCCGAATCACGTTGGACTTTTGCCTGGCGACTGTGTGTGCGCTCGTGCTTCGCAGGTGTTGAATCGCAGCACGGGTTTTGGTGTGCACTTACTGAACGTGGCGAACAAGGACTTCGCCAACGGCTTCGCACGACCAGTGAGTCTCTCTCTCGCGCTGTTATGCCACGATAGCCGTAGCAACTTCTCCTCCCGCCTGCTATTTGGAATTCTCCACACACTCCTTGGACGCCATATCCCTTTTTCACTTCCGCCAGCTCTCTCATTTGTACCTCCCCTCCCTTGATGTGGCCCTCTTCTCACTCCTCGTTTAATTTGTTCTTGACCTTCCATTCTCGTTTTCCCATCCTCCATCCCTCCACCTCCTTTACTACCATCCTTCCCCTCCCCCCGCTATTGCTTACGCACAAGTGATGCCCACACTCGTGCACCGCTCTTTTCTTCACAGCATCACACGTGCTCCGCCCTGCGTAACATGTGCCTCTGCAGTGTTGCCTTCCACCTTCTATAATGCCTCCCTCCCTCTTCACTGTTTATCTTGTTGGCCCCCTCAATCTCATGTCTTGTCCGTGTCCCACTATCACTCGGCCATCATTTGCACTTCAACAGGCGGACAGCACATGAGAGGCCTTCTCCAGGTGCTCCCTTGGCTCATTTTTACCTGTTGCATGAATAGTTCATTTTTTCTTTTACCTTTTTCCTTGCCTTATTTTCTAGTGAAATTAGTAAAATGTGCATCTGCGTCTGGTCCTGAATCCTCACACTCTTCTTCACCCAATTTTCCTCTCTACAGCGTTGTGAAGGACTGGGAGCTCGTCAATCTGTCGAACTTCACTGTGAACAACAATGGTGCTGCAGGCAGCAGCGATGCAGCAGGATCAGCTGATGCAAGCAGTATTGTGCCTCGCATCGGCGGCACAATGGCAATGCTGCTGTGCCGCACATATGCCATGCATGATGCAGGAGACCATCACCTGCTTCTTGGTCAAGTGAGTCATACCGTATATTGCTTGCTCGCCCTCCCTTTCTTCTGCGATTTTGTCATATCATCCATAACTTACCTTACATCCATGATTTTCTCCTCTTCTAGATTGCGTACCTCTTCACCCTAAACCTTCATGCCCCCTTTGTTTCTGTGTTGCAGGTGGTAGCGATGGATGTTAGTGACTTCCATCCCCTCATCTACATGAACCGCCACTACCACCAGCTGGGTCATTCCATCTAGTGCTGTTGTTGAGTTGACCCTGTACCGAGTACAATCTTCACTCAGAGGTTTTGCATCTCCATGACATCCGACCCTGTTTTGTATCTATTGCAGTGCACCATATTGCTCAGATATATTCCCGTCCCTGATGAGAGCAACAGAAGACAAGCATTCGTTGCTCTAATGATCGCCCTTTCCCAACCCGGAACCCCCCTCAAAAGCATGTGAACTTCCACGGATGCGTACAGTGTGACTAGTGTTCATCAGTGTTAAAAATCTAGGCTTACCATACTAATGTCATCTCAGCGTCCATGCACTGTGGGTCTATCATAGCAAGATCAGACCGTATGTGGAGTTGATCCCCTTATGTGTGATCGAAATGGCATTGTCCACACCGAGGTGAAAAAGGGTGTAGATAGATTATAATGTCAATTTTTTGAACTGTCGAATGTGTATCCACATGATTATAGATTGCTGCATGTTTTATTGATTTGATTGGATGATCTGGTATATGTGTATGTAAACGACAAGCAACTCATATATATGTTACCCGGCTTCTCATTTTCGCGAATCATAACTATAATGCTATCGAGTCTGGTATACTCGTACGGATCTTTTGCCACGTCCAAGGCTTGGCCATGTTTGTTACGAACTTCGAAGCGCGTCTCAGGTTTGAGATTCACCAGCCACTGTGATGACACTGTGATGGCGGCAAATGTTTTCAAACCGCCCTCGGCTATCGCCGCACCATCAAGCATTCAACGGCGTCTTGAGATGAGATGTTTGAATTGCGAACGTCTACCTGGCGAGAAAATGATCACTTCTGATAGGCAAACGAATGTCTCGGTACTCCAATTCCATTCGTTATCCATCGTTGAACGGAGTAACCAGCAAAAACAATCCCTCAAAGTTCGAGCCGCAATTTCACATTATTTTCGGAACGCGCGGCACATCCAGCATGGCAGAATCACGGCGCGAGGTTGCCTGCTTGACAAGTTCTTGATGGAGAAAACGTGAGACGGTCCCCCCCTCACCTTGACTTATGTCAAATTAGCAAGTCAAGCCGTCATTTCATTAGTTGCTTCTTCCATCAAGCAGCAGACTCACTTTAACTCAGCTTTCCCTCTTTTTAGAATACGTTGGGAAATATCGCCGTAAGAAGATTTAGTACACTACTGTTATCCTTCTGGATTGATACCTCCAGCTCTATGCAATGGCAGCCCCGTCGCAAGCTCGCTTTACGAGATCGGTTATCAACTCGATGGTTCTCGTGCTCCTGGTTGTCGCCGCCAGCACCGCCGGATGTCTCGCTGTGCAGCGGCCGAACCTCGACCCAAAGCAGCGTAAGGCATTCCATTCAACAGCATCCGTACCTGTTTCTTTACCCCTTAGCCTGCATTCTTTCACAACGTCCGCCCTCGTGCTCTCTCATCCATCCCCATCGACTCTCCCACCCCTTAATACCTCTCCGTCTCGCATCCCAACCTCTAGAGCCAACATTTCTCACTCTGACACACTCCTCGTAGTAATTCCACAAAGTTTAACGCAATTTTTTCCCGTGCGAGCAGACGCGGTTCTGAAGGAGCTTGTGCAGCAGTGGGGCAAGTTCAAGGGGTCGTCCACCTGGACCCAAGCGGGCGCGCCGCGCCGTTGCAGCACGTACGCGGGCGTGCGCTGCAACCCCAAGGGCTACATCAACAACATGTACGTTGCCAGTGTCAGCAGCACGGCCGCGGCACGTCGGCTGCACATCTGCCACGTCGGCGGCACGTCAGTGCGAGCGACGCCATATTTATAGCATCGTTGCCGTAACTCTCTTCCTGCGTGCATGTTTCGGCGCGCATGACGCCCGAGCTACTTTGTTGCTTCTACAACGAACTACTCATGAGCTACGCGCAACGTTAACGGAAGCCTGTTTTCTCTCGAGCGCCTTGACTCAACTTCCGCACTCAACTCACCCCCTTCCTCCCCTCCCCCTTCCTCCTCACCCTTCCTCCCCTCTCTCCTCCCCGCTCACCTATCCTCGTATTTCCTCCTCTCCGCTCCGCCGTCCTCGCCTCCCCCTTCGTCCCCGTTTCTCATGTGCGCAGGACTCTTGTGGAAGCGGGAGCCAAGGGCCCCATCGGCTCGCTGACCAAGCTCGCGTCGCTGCGATACCTGTAAGTGGACGAGCGGGGTAGGGGTTGAACGGGGAGCGGTCGCGGAGGGCCGCATGGTGGGGGAGACGCGAGGAGCGAACGAGTCCGTCGCTGTTACAATGAACACGTGGCGCTCTGCGGCTCGAGATAGAAGAGCTCGATGCGAGAGAAACACTTGATCTCCGCTTGCCTCGACCTTCTCAACTTCCTTGTTTAGAATCTTGTCCCTTCGCCCCTCACCCCTCTCCCTTTTTCTCTGTTTCTCCACCTCTTTTCCTCTCTCCGCCTCTTCGCCTCTCCTCCTCTCCGCCTCTTCGTCTCTCCGCCTCCCCGCGTCTCCGCGTGCCCTCCCTGGCAGCGACCTGTCGAGCAACTCCATCAACGGATCCATCAGCAGCCTCAGCAAGCTCAGGGGACTCGTGCACCTGTGAGCACTCGCGCACCCTCCCCCCCTCACCAACTCACACACACTACTGCTTTCCTATCAACCTTCCTGCTCTCGCATCCTCCCTTTCTTTTTCCCGCGTGAAGGACCTCACTGACAGAAAATATGAGACGCGAGCTTTAAACCGGAGGGCCAAGTTGAGCATGCATGCTCTCTTTCTCTTCCCCTTTCTCGCTCGCTCTCTCGCCCTCTCGCCCTCTCGCCCGCCGCACCCGCAGGGACCTGAGCGGCAACTCCGATGTGTCCAAAGGAATTGAAGCTCTCCCCGCCATTCGCGGCCTTGTGCACCTGTGAGCCCTCCGCGCCTCGCCGCACCCTTCCTTTTGCTCTCGCCTCCCTCCCCCCATTCCCCCATCTTTCCACTATCTCGATCCTCCCCGCCGCACTCCCCCTTGGAGTCACCGTGTTTATATGAGAAACGAAGTCGCCATCAGCAGAATTGGATGTTTTCGGTTTCCTCTTTCACCGTCATACCGTCAGTATCACCGTCACCGTCACCGTCATCGTCATCGTCACTAGCTCTCGCAACGCACTGCCACGCGGCCTAATCTCTTCCGACTCACGCGACTCTCCCTTCCCCTTGTTCCTCAACCGGCCGTTCCCTCCCTTCCTCCCTTGTTCCCTCTCTCCACCCATCCGACTGTCCATGCATGCGTGTGACATCCGATGCCCAGCGATCTCTCCGACTCGGGACTTGAGGGTCCCATTCCGGCTGCCCTCGCCACCATGCGACTCACGTACCTGTGAGTACTAACCGTTGCTGCCGCTGTTGCCGCTGTTGCTGCTGTCGCTGCTGCTGCAACTGCGACTACCTCTGTTGCTACCGCCGCCGCCGCTGCCGCTGCCTGTCGAGAGGCGAAAGTGAGACGTTTTTGTTCCCGCTGCCGTTGCTTTCCCGTCCGAGGACGGCGGACCACCTCCCCACGCCACATGCTCTTGCTGTTGCTGCTCACACGGTCTATCCTCCAACGTTTCCCTACCATGTGAGAATCCAGCCAGCCTCGCCAGCCTCAATATTTTCCCTCCGCGCTATCTCTCTCCGCGTTCTCCATCGCAACGACCTGAGTCTGAACCGGCTGACGGGAACCGTTCTGGCCTTTTGAGTCGACTCAAGAGTCGATTCTCTTTCTCTCTCACCCACTCTCCTCCCTATTTGCCCCCCGCGTTCTCCATCGCAGCGACCTGAGTCTGAACCGGCTGACGGGAACCATTCCGGCCTTCATTGGCATGATGAAGAGCCTCGTGTACCTGTAAGGCCCGCACCCGCCTCTCTCCTTCGCCTGTGCGCCTCTCATGCTCCCATGCTGCACCTTTCTCCATCCTCCTTATCCTTGCCTTGCTCCACCCTCGCGCTCACCGCACCTCCTCCTCCTCCCTTCCCGCGCCGAATCTTGAGACGTCGCACATTCCTCCAACTCTTTCATCGTGTGCGCACGTCACCTCCCACCTCTCTCCGCCTCCCCTCCCCTCTTTGGCAGCAACCTGGCAGCGACGGGCGAGGAGGGGCTTAACGGGCTGCTGCCGCGCAGCATTGGCAACCTCGTCAACCTCAGGGAGCTGTGAGTGCTGCCTCCCGCCGCTGCCGCCACTGCCGCCTCTCTCGCGCTGTCTCATAGCACTGCCTCACCAACCTCTCAACTCAATCCTCCGTCGCGTTGTCCTCTCGCCCATGCGCGCTCCAATCCATCATTGTGTGCGTGCACGGCACGGCGTGCACAGGTACCTGCACAAGAACCGGCTCACTGGGCGAGTCAACTCCATCGGCAAACTCACCAAGCTGCAGCGCCTGTCAGTGCTCCCCTCCCTCCCTCCCTCCCTCCCTCCCTCCCTCCCTCCCTCCCCGCCCTTGCATTCTATTCTCGAGAAATTTCAAAAGAGGTTATAACATCGCTGACTTATGAGCATTCTCAGAGCCCTTGAATTCTTTGCTGGTTGCCCTGTACTGGGTGCTGCTTGCTGGGTGCTGCGTGCTGGTGGTGGTTCGTGGCGTCAGGGATATCACGCAAGCATGCACCATGCATCATGATGCCCCACTCGTGCCTGCTTCTTTCCAACACGCTTGCAACCAACCTCTTCCCACTTTCCCATCTCCCTGCTTCTCCCCTGCCTGCATGCATGCGCGCGCGCACAGCCTGTTGGGAGGTAGTTACTTCCGCCAGACCTTCCCCAGCAACTTTTGAGTCGAATCATTCTCACCTCTTCTCTCCCCCCTTCTTCCCTGCATGACACTGCATCCATTCCTGGCGCGCACAGGCTGTTGGGAGACAACTACTTCCGCCAGGTCTTCCCCACCAACTTCAAGGCCCTCCGCAACCTCGACTACCTGTCAGCACCCACCCGCCCACCCTCCCTCCCGCCCACCCTCCCACCCTCCCACCCTCCCTCCCTCTCCCCCCACTTGCTCAATCCCATCGCCCCCTGTTGTGCCCTTCCGTTTCCACCATCACCCACCATCACCCACCCACCCACGAGAAAACCAAACCATTCCCACACACCGTCCTTCCACCCATCGTCCCCGCTCATCGTCCTCCCATCGTCCCCATCCACCATATCCCGGCCACACCATTCCCACGCACGAACGCGCCATGGTGACGGGCTACCCACCCACCCCACCAGGAGCATGCGCTACAACTCCTTCTCCGGGGACATGCCTGCCTTCATCGCCAACCTCACCAAGCTCAGCTTCCTGTACGCCCACGCCCACGCCCACGACTCCTCTTCGCTGTCCTCCCCTCTCTCTCCAAACCTCCCTCTCCCTTCTCCCTCCAAACCTCCCTCTCCCCGTGCAACATATCTTCCCTTCCGACCTCTCGTCCACCACATCCCTACTCACTCTACCTCCTGCCGCTTTATCATCCGCCTCCCCCCCCCCCCCCCCCAGCCCCTTTTGCTTGCTTCTCCCCAATCACTCACTCCATCTCTGCTTCCCGGGCCACCCCGATCCTTTCCCTCCCAGTGCTATCTCCCCAACCATGGGGCAGCTCCCTGAACGACACGACAACCAGGTGACTTTAGAGTCGACTCAAAAGTCACCATCCTTTCTCTCCCCACCCATGACAGCTCCCTGAACGACAACCTGCTCTCCGGAAACGTCCCTGCCACCTACAAGAACCTCAAGAACCTGCAGACGCTGTGAGTGAGCCGCCGCCAGCCCATGCTTGCGCCGTTTCCCCTCCCACCCACCCGTATGTCCCTTCTTGCCGTATTCTTTGGGAATTCTAAAAAAATCCTTGTCCCTTGTTGCCATATTCTTCTCCGACACCCGCCGTTCTCTCTGCCCTCGCTCCACATATGTACGACGCCTGGCTTTGTTTTGCTCAAACGTAAGGACCCCCCTCATAGCAGAGTGCCCCTCAGCAAGTATGCCGTCCCTTCAACAACCAACCCGCATTCCCCATCTGCCCCTCCTCCCTCGCCCCAACACAGGAACCTGCAGAACAACCGCTTGAGCGGCTACCTGCCTGACTTTACTTCTCAGAGCAAGCTCAAGTCCATGTGAGTGCCAGCTCATTTCATCCCTCTCTTCCTCACTTCCTCTCTTTTCCCGCTTCATGACTATCAGCACGCCCTCGGAATCCTCTCTTTCGATCCATTTCTTGTTTCTCTTTTGTTGTCTCAGTGCTGAATTCCACCTCCCAGTTGCAAAGCACCCACTGTTTGTGATGCGTTCGCAGAAGCTCCAGCGGCACAAGTAGTATGTATACCACCTGAGACAACCTGCTTTCGAGTCGACTCAAAAAGTCACCTCGTTTGCAGAAGCTCCAGCGGCACTAGTATACCACCTGCGACCTGCCTTCTCCGTACCACTCAATCACACCCCATCCACTTCTCCACTTCGAGCCTACTCAAAGTCCATTATCTTTTTCCATTTCCAAATCTTCCCCGCGCCCTCTTCACCCCTCACCCTCCCCACTCTCTCCCTCATCTCCTTCCGCATTCTTCCCTGCAGTGATGTGAGTGGCAACTACATCACAGGCCCACTGCCCAGGTTTGCCGCCACGCCAGAATCCGCCAATTTCAACAGCAACTACTTTTTCGGTTCTTCCGTTCCTGTCACCACCGGCGGCAAGACTGTGTGCTCTGCAGACATTGGCAACAACTGCCTCACCATCCCCTCCACCTATAGCTGTGGCGCCAAGCCCAAGCAGAGGGTCGCCAAGTCGTGCCAGCAATTCTGCAAGACTTCTGGGAACTCCCAGTGCGGTGGAAAGGGGTATTGCACGGTGGAAGTGAGGCACAACAAGGTTTCGCCCATCTGCATGTGTAGCGCGGGGTACAAGCAGTCTCCGGACAGGCAAACTTGTGTCAAGGCGTAAGGCTATTCGAGTGATTGGTGGATAAGGAATGTACGTAGCTGGGTGTAGGATTGCCATGTGCTGAGTATTGGTTGGTGAAGGTCATTGGGAATTTCTTGCTTCAATGATGGCTTCCTGTTGCGTATACAATAGGTTCAATAATGATAAAGCTTGGAGTGAATATTCTTAGCTTGTTTAGCAACGCTCAAATGTATGTCCTGTTATATTAGTGTTCGGAGGTTGAACCATCAATATCGCAAATTCCTGAAGAACTGTTGAGAACAGCTCTGGTTGGATTGCACACTCACTCATGCAATCCGAGAGAATTGCTCCAGTGCCTTGTTTGGTGATTCGCTCTTGCCCACGTGTCCCCGAATTGCTCGAGTGGCCATCCAATTCAGTGATAATTGCTCGAGTGGCCATGCCAGGGCATTTTCGAGGTGTTTTTTTCCCTGGCACATAACCCTACAAGGGTTCGTACCCCCGAAATTCCTCGTTCGCACAATAGTAGATGCGGGGTCATTTTCGGCCCAATGCGCGACCAATGAGCGCGTGGGCAATTACATCAGCGATCTTAAACTGCAACGCCAGAGCATAAATGCACGAACATATTACTGACCGCGCACGATTGGTCGATAATATGCTTCTTGCCCTTTTTGGCAATGCGCGTCCAATCATGCACGGTCATATAATTCACGACCATATATTTAGGCGATAAAGGGTCGCCCAAAAACCAATATGAGCGCGCATATACTACCATTAGTTCTATCATATGTCCGGTCCATATAAAACCATGTATATCAAATGCCATAAATATATTATCTGCTATTAATTTAAGCCCATCATACTAGACATAATATTGTATCGTGGCCTATCATAGTATTAATTTAAGCCCATCATACCGTGGTCCATAATATTATATTGCTGGTAATATGGTTGCAGAAATAATATGTTCGGTAGCATAATATTAATTTAAGCCCAGCGTAATATGCTGCCACCATAGTTATGATGGGCTTAAATTAATAGCAGAGAATATATTTATGGCATTTGATATACATGGTTTTATATGGACCGGACATATGATAGAACTAATTGTCAAATGTTGAACTTTGATATGATAGGCTATAGTGAGTTGCACTCTAGGGGGTACAGCTTCTAGGGTTGCTCATTTGTACCCCATTCGTTTCTATTCCAATCATTCCGTTGTTCGCTAACTTTGAGATGGTATCATGAGTAGGTGTCGATCCTCTCGCCTAGCCTAGCCTAGCTCGCGCCCTAGCGCCCTCCGCGCCCTTGCGCCCTAGCACACTCCGCGCCCTCCGCGCCCTCCGCGCCCTTGCGCCCTAGCACCCTCCGCGCCCTCCGCGCCCTCCGCGCCCTCCGCGCCCTCCGTGCCCTCCGCGCCCTCCGCGCCTTAGCCACCGCGCCCTCCGCGCCATCTCCGCGCCTTAGCGCCCTCCTCCTCCGCGCGTTAGCGCCCTCCGCGCCCCTAGCCTGCGCCCCTAGCCCGTCGCCCAGGCCCACGCCCTAGCCCGTCGCCCAGGCGCCCGCCCTAGCCCGTCGCCCAGGCGCCCGCCCTAGCCCGTCGCCCAGGCGCCCGCCCTAGCCCGTCGCCCAGGCGCCCGCCCTAGCCCGTCGCCCAGGCGCCCGCCCTAGCCCGTCGCCCAGGCGCCCGACCTAGCCCGTCGCCCAGGCGCCCGCCCTAGCCCGTCTCCCAGGCGCCCGCCCCAGCCCGTCGCCCAGGCGCCCGCCCCAGCCCGTCGCCCAGGCGCCCGCCCTAGCCCGTCGCCCAGGCGCCCGCCCAGGCGCCCGCCCCAGCCCGTCGCCCAGGCGCCCGCCCCAGCCCGTCGCCCAGGCGCCCGCCCCAGCCCGTCGCCCAGGCGCCCGCCCTAGCCCGTCGCCCAGGCCTGCGCCCTAGCCCGTCGCCCAGGCGCCCGTCCTTGCCCGTCGCCCAGGCGCCCGTCCTAGCCCGTCGCCCAGGCGCCCTCCCTGGCTCGTCACCCCAGCCCCGCAGGCAGCGCGCCACGCGGGTAGCGCGCCCCGCGGGTAGCGCGCCCCGCAGGAGGCGCGCCCCGCGGGTAGCGCGCCCCGCAGGCAGCACACCCTGCAGGCAGCGCGCCCCGGGGTGCTTTAGTGCCAGAAAATAAATACATAAATTAAACCCTAAAAAAAAAAAAAAAAAAAAAAAGGGGTTCACAGTGGGGGCCTGCGACTGTCGCCCGCGTTCCTGCTTGCCGGACGACCTGCACAGTTGCCTACATCCCGCAGCCGTCAGTACTGCAGCCCCTACTGTCGCACGTACTTTCCACTGCCAGTGGCTCTACTAGCGGCAGCCGACAGCCGCACTTACGGTCTCTAGCCCCGGCCGTTCCTACCTCCAGCCAGCCCTAGCTCGCCGCTTCTAGCTCCAGCCGTTCTCGCTCCAGCCGTTCTCGCTCCTCGCTCGTAGCTCAGTTTGCTCCGTGCTCCGGTCGTTCCTCGCCTAGTTTCACCTGGCGCTTCTAGCTCAGTTTGCTCCGTGCTCCAGCCGTTCCTCGCCTAGTTTCACCTGGCGCTCCTAGCTTAGTTCGCTCCGTGCTCCAGCAGTTACTCGCCTGGTTTCACCTGGCGCTCCTAGCTTAGTTCGCTCCGTGCTCCAGCAGTTACTCGCCTGGTTTCACCTGGCGCTCCTAGCTTAGTTCGCTCCGTGCTCCAGCAGTTACTCGCCTGGTTTCACCTTGCGCTCCTAGTTGTTCTCGTTTTTCACAGCAGCCTGTCGCTCCTGTCGCTCCTAGCCTGCCGCTCCTGCACCCCGCTAGCTTTTATCATGGAGTCCGCTAGGGTTCTCCAGCAGCAGGGACAGCAGCAGCGGCCTTTTCAGCAGTGGCTTCCGCAGCGGCAGGGGCGCCCTCAGCAGCTGTGGCGCCCTCAGCAGCCATGGGGGCCTGGTGGTTCAGGTCGCGTTGGCTGCAGCAGCGGCCCAGCCAGCTGGGGGGCTCGTCGCGGTGGCCGCGACGTCGGCCCCTGCCAGTACCGGATCCTGACCGGCCCTGGTGCTGGCACTACCTGCTGGCGTCCTGACCACTCTGCACAGCGCTGCTACAGCCGCCTCGACGACCTTTACCGTGAGCGTTTTGGGCCTGAGTCGGCTCCCCCGATCTGGCCCGGTCTGTTTCGTAGTGGTTTCCCTGTGTTTGATATGTCTATGGATGCTGTTTATTCTGTCACGTACGGATCTCTTGGCTTACGTGTACCTAGCTTAGGACCTTTGCCTGTTGCTAGTGTCGGTACTTGTGCTTTTAGTGTAGGTGCTTGTGTAGTCACTAGCCCAGCCGTGACGACTGCTGTTGCGTCGCTCTCCTTCACGCTGGACTCCGGCGCGTCTCAGTGTTTCTTCCGCGACCACACCACTGTCACACCTCTTTCGGCTCCAGTCCCAGTTGCCCTGGCTGATCCTACTTCAGGACCAGCAGTTGCTCGTAGCTCGACCACCCTCCCGTGCCCGGCTGTCCCCTCTGGTTTCCTCACTGGTCTCTACATCCCCTCGTTCTCTCGGAACTTGGTGGGTGTTGGATACCTTCAGGACCGGGGGATCACAGTCACTTTTCCTGCGCACGGGAGGACTGCGATCTGTACGGACTCTTCCACCGGGGCAGTTCTTGCCACGTTCACCAGAGAGCCCCACTCAGGTCTCTTCGTCCTGCACACTCCGCCCCCGCAGGTAGCTGCGTCTGGTCAGGTTGCTTCGTCCCCCCCGGTAGCAGAGTCCGGTCAGGTGGCTGTGTCCAGTCCGGTCGCTGTGTCCAGTCCAGTCGCTGCGTCTTGCTCCTGTCGCTCTCTCGCCCACCGCACCGTCCTGTGGCACCACCGTCTTGGCCACCCGTCGATCCCTCGCCTTCGTGGCATGCTCAGTCAGGGACTAGTCACAGGTCTCCCACGCACCTTCCCGTCGCTCCCTCCCTCGCTTGCCCCTCCTTGCTCTCCGTGCGTCGCCGGTCGCTTACGTCCCACTCCCCACTCCTCCTCCCTTCGTCCGGCCACCGCTCCCTTCGAGACTCTCCACTTGGACGTCTGGGGCCCTGCCCCGACGCAGGGGTCCGGGAGGGAGCGCTACTTTCTGGTGGTCGTCGACGACTTCTCCATGTACACCACAGTGTTTCCTCTTGCGAAGAAGTCCGAGGTGACTGCTACGCTGATCAGGTGGCTTCTAGCCACTGAGGGCACTCGTGGTCGTCGAGTCAGTTGTCTTCACTCCGACCGTGGGGGCGAGTTTCGCTCCGGCATTCTCGGCGGATTCTGCGGCGAACAGGGCATCACCCAGTCCTGGACGCTGCCAGAGTCCCCACAGCAGAATGGGGTTGCTGAGCGCCGCATAGGCTTGGTCATGGACATCGCCCGCACGTCCATGATTCATGCCCGTGCGCCCCATTTTCTGTGGCCTCACGCGGTTCGCTACGCCGCACACCAGCTGAACCTCCAGCCGCGTGTCTCGCGGCCCGAGGCTTCACCGACCAGTCTCTGGACTGGATCCCCTGGTGTTGGGTCGGCCTTTCGAGTCTGGGGCTGCCTTGCACTTGTTCGCGACACCTCCGCGGACAAGCTCTCGGCACGCGCCGTCCCCTGTGTCTTCCTTGGTTTCCCAGTGGACTCTGCTGACTGGTCCTTTTACCACCCTCCCCTCCACCAGTTCCTAGATTCCCGTGACGTCCGGTTTGACGAGTCCGTGTCCTACTACACCCGGTACCCCTGTCGAGGTCTCCCGGTACCCCCTCCCCCTCTCTTCCTCGCACCCTCTCCTCCTCCTGCTCCCGCTCCTCCGGTACCCCCGCCCCCCCCTGGTCCTGCCCCGTCTGGTGTGTCCCACGCTACCCCTCTCCCCTCGGTCGCGCGTCAGGTAGCGTCTCCCTCCCCGCAGTCCTCCTCACAGTCCCCTCAGCAGCCTTCGGCACTTCCGCGACAGGTTACTGTGGACTCGGTTGGTGTTGGAGCTGGAGGTGCAGCCGCTGGCGGTGCTCGGTCTGGGGGTGCTCGGTCGCGGGGTA